AAAGCCTCCAAATATATGTTTCAAGTGATCTGCTTTCATGTTCTATATATCGCAAGTGTACTTCTAGTCACGTCAAGTAGCCTAACTGCGATGAAACTATCCGATAACCCTTTCGGAAATGTATCATTACTGATTACCATGCTTTCCCAGGAATCTATTTCATCACGAGACTAAACACGTCGCACGCAAGGGTAAAATAGGGGGTTAGGAAGGCGTTCTCTGCTAGGAGCGAGCATTTCTATCGTGGTAGTTCTTTGATGCAAAATCAATTTCTAGCAAGCAACATTCATTATTCGCTCCTCAGCTGTTGATGGAAAGGCTTTTGTTATGAAAGACTGAGTTCATTAATCTTTTTTAAACAACCTAAACACATCAATCAAACTACGAACAATGAAAAGAGTATCCACCCTTAATTTTCAAACGGGTCACGCACTCGGCTTCCATGGAAATCTCAGCATTATCCGAATGTAGATTCGGTTTACACGATATCTTGCTGAGGCCGACCGATTTAAAGCCAGGGTTTCGATCCTCTCAGCCTATTGCCCGATGTCAGACTGCGATTGGAGCGATTTTGCACCAATTGCAGGATCGAATTCAGAATCCATCCAAGCTAACTGTGCCATTCATCCTTCGGTTAGTTGGCGCTGTATTCGTCTGAGAGGATAAAAACACTGACTTATGTGTGTCAAGCATTGAATAGCTCTCGCTGGTTATCCTGCAAGAAAACTTGCAATCAGAGTGTCTAGCATTTTGGATGGAATAGTGGTATACGTGGCTCATCCCGAAATGAAATTCTTGGGCGTCGAATTTTCTGTGATAGCCTTTTTTGATAGTTTATCAAGCTCAAATATAATAGTAATTCACTTTCAACACCACACTGCAATTATGGAAAATTTGTCTCTTCAAAGCGTTCTTAGATCTCATCATTCAACCTATTATAGGGCTAAATTGCTGTCCTAGGCCAAGTCTTGGTGAACGCTAGGGTGCAAAGCGGGTGCGACCTGATTCGCTAAGGCGATTGATATTTTAGTAGTGAAATCCGGAACCTGATTTCTTGCAAATCATTATTAATCTTCAGAAATCGGATTATTACTACTAAGAATCCGCGGATAGGTTTCTATTCGAAGATACTTTATTTATATCTAGCATGACATGGGACCTTCCCTGTAGAACGCTCACTCCTTATAATAAAACAATTTGGGGACCTGGTCTCAATAATTGTCCTTCTAGGACCTTCTATTGCCAGCATTTTGCATTCTGCGAATAGCGTAGTCAATTGAAACCAAAAATGAAGTCAGCAAAACAAAGTTGATCGCTCACTTTTTATTGCAATGTTTCTAGAACACGCCCGTTCCCCTCTGGCCATAGTTTTTTATTTTTCTGGAAGTATCTCGAGGTATGTGTACGTCATTCTTTCAATAATTCGTTGTGTGAGCTTTTTTTCTTTGTGACGCAGCTAATTAACTAGTAGTCTAGCATCATCGCTCGACTTGACTGCAATAGTAGCTTGTCGTGCTTGTGCCCCTACGACAACGCGCTGGAGCCGGAATCGATCATGAATTATCTAATAATTAAGATGGGCCGCTGTTAGTCAGCCACGACTAGGTCTTCTGCACAAGTTTATTGAGGTAGTCTTGTTCTGAGGAGATACGAAGGACAGACAAACGCTTCAATTGTCTTCATTCTTTTTGTATAGCTCTATTTTGGGAGGCATTATTTGAAAATCATGCGAGTGAGTGGGAGTGCTTTCTGGCGATTGGATACATATGCTTGTATGCTACCGAGGAGCAATAAGTCTTTTCCGTCCTATGTGCATCCAGCTCGTATCCGATGGTAAGCGAATGATGAATGTCACCTTCAAAATGAACGAGGCCCACCGACGTAGGAAGGCGAGATGCAATTTAAGGGAAATGAGGTGTGTTCAACGATAGTGAAGAGTTCAGTATCAGCTACATTTTCTATTTTTCTCCATAAAAGCGCTTATTTTCTTTTTAAAATGTGTTTTTGGGAATCTTATATTACGTAAGCTCATGCAAAATCATTTGAAATTGAGCATCTCAATTTTTCTGGCGAACGATTCGATTGACCTTGTTGACCAAGCCCATGTGCTTCGACACCGTCAAGGATTTGACTACGAGGTCCTGCCATCACTCCAGGGTGAATAACTTGATAAACCAATGGCCGATGTCAGACTTTGCGATTGGAGCGACGGATCGCTTGAGCGATGCGAGCGACGGGAGATTTACACCGCCGACCACCGATAATTCGGCGCCATCAGTTCGTAAATCTCCCGTCGCTCGCATCGCTCAAGCGATCCGTCGCTCCTGCAATTGGTGCAAAATCGCTCCAATCGCAAAGTCTGACATCGGGCAATAGGCTGAGAGGATCGAAACCCTGGCTTTAAATCGGTCGGCCTCAGCAAGATATCGTGTAAACCGAATCTACATTCGGATAATGCTGAGATTTCCATGGAAGCCGAGTGCGTGACCCGTTTGAAAATTAAGGGTGGATACTCTTTTCATTGTTCGTAGTTTGATTGATGTGTTTAGGTTGTTTAAAAAAGATTAATGAACTCAGTCTTTCATAACAAAAGCCTTTCCATCAACAGCTGAGGAGCGAATAATGAATGTTGCTTGCTAGAAATTGATTTTGCATCAAAGAACTACCACGATAGAAATGCTCGCTCCTAGCAGAGAACGCCTTCCTAACCCCCTATTTTACCCTTGCGTGCGACGTGTTTAGTCTCGTGATGAAATAGATTCCTGGGAAAGCATGGTAATCAGTAATGATACATTTCCGAAAGGGTTATCGGATAGTTTCATCGCAGTTAGGCTACTTGACGTGACTAGAAGTACACTTGCGATATATAGAACATGAAAGCAGATCACTTGAAACATATATTTGGAGGCTTTTTATGGAATTTCAAGTGTGGATGTAATCGGTTATATATGGTATGACGGTTTGCTCCAGGCTCTTGCTCAGCGAAATATAGAATGGATATGCTTTCTAGGCCCAGAATTTGCCACAACCTTGGTCCTATTAAGGTAGCAGCACTTAATTCACTTTGTTGTTCCTTTCCTTTGTTTCCCTTTATGGCTTTTTATTATTCATCCATCAATGCCGAGTCAGTGTACCTAGCGCTTTTTTTGCACTCTTTGTTCTTACAATTAGCTTTTATGTAGTCTTCGAATTGGGGTGCTGTAGGAGTAAGTGCCGCTTTCCCCATATGCATGGACTGATCGAATTCAGAATCCATCCAAGCTAACTGTGCCATTCATCCTTCGGTTAGTTGGCGCTGTATTCGTCTGAGAGGATAAAAACACTGACTTATGTGTGTCAAGCATTGAATAGCTCTCGCTGGTTATCCTGCAAGAAAACTTGCAATCAGAGTGTCTAGCATTTTGGATGGAATAGTGGTATACGTGGCTCATCCCGAAATGAAATTCTTGGGCGTCGAATTTTCTGTGATAGCTTTTTTTGATAGTTTATCAAGCTCAAATATAATAGTAATTCACTTTCAACACTACACTGCAATTATGGAAAATTTGTCTCTTCAAAGCGTTCTTAGATCTCATCATTCAACCTACTATAGGGCTTGCTGTCCTAGGCCAAGTCTTGGTGAACGCTAGGGTGCAAAGCGGGTGCGACCTGATTCGCTAAGGCGATTGATATTTTAGTAGTGAAATCCGGAACCTGATTCCTTGCAAACCATTACTAATCTTCAGAAATCGGATTATTACTTCCAAGAATCCGCGGATAGGTTTCTATTCCGAAGATACTTTATTTATATCTAGCATGACATGGGACCTTCCCTGTAGAACGCTCACTCCTTATAATAAAACAATTTGGGGACTCGGTCTCAATCATTGTCCTTCTAGGACCTTCTATTGCCAGCATTTCGCATTCTGCAGATAGCGTAGTCAATTGAAACCAAAAATGAAGTCAAAGTCAGGGTCAAAGCAAAACGAAGTTGATCGCTCACTTTTTACTACAATGTTTCTAGAGCACGCCCGTTCCTCTTTGGCCATAGTTTTTATTTTTCTGGAAGTATCTCGAGGTATGTGTACGTCATTCTTTCAATAATTCGTTGTGTGAGCTTTTTTTCTTTGTGACGCAGCTAATTAACTAGTAGTCTAGCATCATCGCTCGACTTGACTGCAATAGTAGCTTGTCGTGCTTGTGCCCCTACGACAACGCGCTGGAGCCGGAATCGATCATGAATTATCTAATAATTAAGATGGGCCGCTGTTAGTCAGCCACGACTAGGTCTTCTGCACAAGTTTATTGAGGTAGTCTTGTTCTGAGGAGATACGAAGGACAGACAAACGCTTCAATTGTCTTCATTCTTTTTGTATAGCTCTATTTTGGGAGGCATTATTTTAAAATCATGCGAGTGAGTGGGAGTGCTTTGAAATCCGCCATAACGCTATTTTTCAATGTAAAGGTTGTTTCAGTGCTAAAATCGTTACAATAATTCCACCCCAACTCGAATTATTGTTATTTTTGATTTTCAACATGGGGCTTGTCCATTCGCATAATCTGAATGTGAGCAAAACCAAAAGATGGAAACATAACAACAATGTGTGACCTTTATTTTTTTTATTTTTCTTCGGCGGTAACGTCCGTTTTGGTGGGAAGGATCGCAGGTTTTATGCCAACTGCTGGACATTAGTTCTATGAGAAGGTGTCTAACATTGTTTTCTAAAGAAGGGGCTCGCAACAACCGTACCCCTCTGCGTCGCACCCACGTACCTACCTACTTGGTGTGTATTGCGGGCAGGTCCTTAATCCGATGTGATTAGAATGAATTTTAGAGGAGCTTTATGACGAAAACACTTTTTCTTTTCTTACGCCTATGACTGCGTGAAGGCGATTGCAAGCTTATCATTTACAGGGTAATGTCAAACAGTGAAACAAGGGTAAAAGGGCCAGTTTTGCTCAGAACGCAATATGTTTGTGGAATGAGAGCGCTGATGTCTTTGTATGAGTATTTCCGCGCTTGTCATCTACAGAAATGCATAATTCCGATTGATTTCTGTAGAGATTAGTTGGAATTCGCCACGCGTTCATTGCTGAATAATTCGGTGGCGTTTTCCGTGTTTGGGCACATTATTTCAACCGTTTGTCTCGGCGGTGTTCGGACGGTTCTTTTTGTCCCTCACTTCCCGTATGTTCTGAAAATCAACCCTTCGCTGATTTTGAATTTTTTATTAGGTCTTACCCAAGCCTAATATATACCTTGCGTATTGAGCCAGTTAGTACTTACATGTAATTCTATTGTAATCGCTGCTTAGCAAAATACGCGAATGCTTGCAATTGATCGAAAATTTCCTGTAATTGTACGACTTATGATATTCCACGTCATCACAAGGAGGGCATCCAGGCGTTTTCACTTATTTTATCCTTAACGCTACAAAATCGTTCCATAAATCAACTGAAAATCTTTTCCTTGAAATCTGGCCACGTTGTGAGTGTTTAGTGCCAAATTTGAGGGAGCGAAAAACAAGAAGGGTTACGAGCGAATCCGTATTTCAGTGGAGGCAAAGGAAGTCAGGGGCTTTTTTTGATGTTCACTTTTCTTGTGCAACCTCTTTTTGTGTTAGAATGGGGCTCTAGGATTCTAAAACCTAGCTTCCGGAAATAACATTTCAACTTTTCAGGCCATCCAAATAGATCGCAGTCAGATCGAGCGCATGGTCGGCGATCTTGAGAAGGCCCCGCCGCCTCCAGTCGACGCGCCACCAGCCCCTCAGTTGCCGTACTGGTAGGGAATGTTTCTCTGATGATAGCACTTTTTATTGTGTTTGTTTTTCTTTCGATTGCATTTGTTGTGATATCTTGTGTTGCTTTTGAATGTGGAAGCTTCAACGCGGAAAGTTGGTGAGGTTCAGGTTCACCACTGAGTGTCGCAACAATCTAGTGAACTGCGACGTGCCTGCGATGGCTGTTCCAAGTGCTCCGTCGCCAATTCCGCCGCCACTTCCGATGCCTGACCTCAAGCAACAACTCAAGGCGCAGCTCGAATATTATTTCTCAAGGTGACCACTGTTTTCGATGTGTACTTGTACAGCAGAAATTACCATCTCATTCGTCAAGTCGTTGTTACGGCATGCATCGCTGAGCAAGCTGTTGCTCACTCAAGTCACTACTGAAGCCTGACGCTCGTTTTTCATTTAATTTTGGCGCATTTCCTCTCTCTCGTTAGTGAGCGGGACTTGTTGAGCAAAAGGCTTGCATGTCGATAATGAGGAGAGCCCATGGTGGCCGCAGGCTATATGGGTTGTTTTCTTCATTTCACGGCAATGTTTGGAAGAGGCCTGACCACTGCGAGCGGTATTGCTTTTGAATTGCATTAAAGAACCCACTGTATAGTGCGCTGATAATCCCAATGCTGGACACTCTAACATGCAGTCGCTATAGTAGTTTAAGGTGTTTTTTCACACATAAAGAAAGGCTTTTAAAGTTCGAAAATCTATATGAGGTTAATGAAGGGAGGTACAACGCAATGAAAAGCAAAACTTGAAGAGTTCTATTATGTGCGCAGGGAAGTGGGTTCGCTCCCTGTTGCAACCAAGTGTGTGCTCCTTCCCATTCCCTCGGGGCGAATTAATTGGTGCCAGGCTCGTCAGTGAGGATAAGAATGCTGGCTAGAACATTGTTCAAAAACAACGCTTGTTTAGGCGCTATACGCGTTCGAAAGCCTTCGGGTCTGATTAGAAACGGAATGTGCGTCACTTTTTAGGCCATCTCTCATGTTTTGTTTTCCATCTTTGAAATTAAGTCAGAAAAAACGGGATTTTGGTTTAGGGGATCCTCCTACTCAGAGTGTCTGGATAGATTTTGAAGTTCTGCGAATTTCTAGGAGAATTTGAATGTGAATTTCTAGGAATGTTGAATTTCCCAATAATCTCCAAGGGCGACTTCGTCAGTCTAAATCCTTTAAAAAGTATTTTCTTGTCCTTTCCTATTTTTGTTAATTAAGTATACAAGAAAAATAATGGGAACATGTTTGTTGCATACTACGCAGTGTATTCGGTTGACGATTATTTACATAAAGGCTTTGGTCGTTGTGAAAAGCGATGTTTTGCCAATAGGATGTGGGTGTTATTCACAAAGGCTCGAGTATTTCAGAGAAAATCTAATTACCGATCGATATTTGCGATGCCAAATGGATGCTGACCAATTCGTTCCAATTTCCATTATTGCCGGATTTCGGAAGATTGTTCAACTTACCAGTGATTACAATCTTATTTTGCAAGTGTTGCGAGGTGGGGTAATTCATATTGTGTTTCTTTTTTTATGTTTTTGCAGATTATTTTTAAATGTTGGAGCTTGAAGAGTAAGTTCTTCAAGACTTTGCATCGGGTGGAAAATTACTATCAATATCATTGAGTTAGGGTTTGTGGGGGAGAGGGGAAAAGGGGGGGGGGGAAGAAGTACTCGAAAAAATTGTTTCGTTCTAGTGTACGGTAGGGTTGGATTAGGAAGAATACGTTTTGCAGCCAAGCTTCTCACCATACTCATCAAGAGCTCCTTTTCGACTGAATTTTCAGTGACTCATGAGAGATCTTGTGATGAAAAATGTCTGCTGAAAGGCAGAAAATCTTGAATCACAATTTATATGGGATCATCATGTGGAGTTGAACGGCGAGGGTTGCAAATACGTTTCATCACCTTCTATCACTTTTCCAAACTTTGCATTTTCTGGAGGCTGGCTGGGTTGAAGAAGAGCAGAAGGTCTAGACAGGGTATTGTTTGGTTTTCTTCCTGCGGAACATAGCATACTGTACACAGAGTTGGTGGAATACAACTAATGTCGCTTTCTACAATTTCCATCTCATTTTTCGTTCTTTTTCTTCAAATGTTCAACTTTACGTGACCGATTTGAATATGTATTTAATCTCACTTGCGTTTAGAATCGAATCAGGTGGAAGTGGATGAGCGCGGCGAAAAAGTTCGTTCTGTATGCCGACGGTGCACTATCATTCTGAGGGAGATCAGTGAAGAACACAGAGAGGTTCGATTCGCATTTTACTGGTTTCCTTCAAAAGTTGATTTGAATTCTCGTTAAGGAAGTCGAGAAGATGCTTTCCGGTGGTCCACCCTACGTCGATCTGAAGTACGGTTTGAACAACAGTTGGTACGTCACCTTTGACAATGAAGAGACCACACAACAGGCCTATCTTCACCTTCAAAATATGGACATTACCTTTAATAATAAGCCAATATGTGTGAGTTTCTCTTACACCACTTCGCTTGACTTTCTCCCCCTCCATGCTGTGCTAAATATTTCGATCAAGACTAAGAGGGAGAGTTTAGGTTCGAATAAAAGCGGGAGGTCCACCAAGTGATCTGCCTCCAATCGACAGAGTGCCCACGCAGGTAACTTTTATCATGTCTACATTATAGTTTTCTGAACAGATTTTATTCCGACTATCACTCACCTTTTTTGTAAGTTACGAAGTCTTTTAAATAGACAGATCCCTGAGAATATTTGGCGAATTCGTTTTCTTGCTTGTGAAAACCAACTGAGTTCGCTCAGTAGGAAGTGGCAAACCTATCAAACTACGCGTCATGTCGTTTTTCCTTTATTTGTTTCGCAAACACCGCTAAGACTTACTTGGGGAAGTTCCACTCAAAGTTATATTATAACTTCAGCTTTGCAATTCCCAATTGATGAATAAAATGAACAGCTTTTTTTAGTGGCTTGCTTCCTATTTTGCGCATCATTTCTAGCACATCAAAGCATGTGGTTGGCTTGATTGCAGTTTTATTCAGCAGCTTTGAAAGGAGTAGCTCAACAACGTTGAGAACGGTCTCCCGGAGAGTGCATGAAATTTTGTCGAAGAGGCAGCTAAAGAATAATTAATCGTGAAAGTTTTTTGTTATCAATAATGTAGAGCAAGTTCGAGTTCCAGGAGCAGTTCTACCAATGAGAATGAGTGTTTCTTAAGACTTTAGCAGCAGGGTCATCTGGTTAAAAATTTATGAAGCAGGAACTACATACTTGGAGAGAACTCGTTGCTTTGCTTTGAAGTCAAAAGTATAGGTTCCCGAAACCGTGTTTTTTCGAAAGAATCAGATCGGCGACAGTGTTACGGTCATATGTACAGCTACTATGGGGCTCAAAGCGAGTAGGGTCGTGGTGAGAGGTTCCGAGTAAAGTATAACCCATGCTCTTACATTAGGGCAAAACCAACCTGTTGGACATCTCTTGTTAACAAATGTGTATCCTAGCAAGAGATGAAACTTAGCTGCAAGAAATTGATTAATTTTCATTGTTTTCTTCCTTGTATTAAAAGTCATTTGTTGTGTTGCGAATGGTTTTTATTCAACATTGCTTGCTGTTGTTGTGAGCCTTCATGTAGTTCACTAGGAACCTTGTCTAGTCCTCACTTGCGAGTATTTCCTACCTCGAGGGCCCATACTGTCTACGAGGGACCTAATACTTTACGAGGCCAGCATTTTAGGAATGCTCATTTCCATCATGGCCGTCTGTATTATAGTGTAATTTGACTCGATAGCGGATCTCATCTGTGCTCACTACAGTACTAGTTCCTCCTATTATTTCTATCTGCATTTGTGCATAATCGTGTTTTTTTCCTTTGGCTCATCGCAGCAGCATCGCAGAGAAGCGAGACCTCGTAATATCAATTTGCTCTCAACGACTTCCATTACATATTAAGTGATAAACTTAATTTTCGTCGTAGAGCCCATAAAATTTATCGAGACAGTTGAAAAGATCACGAGTTATGCAGTGGAGGACTAGAAGTTGTGCCGAAGTCTTTTTTTGTGGCGCAAAATGTTCTATCTATCAAGTATGTTAGCTGGATGAATTCAATTGAGCTGGGCTGATGAATGCAAAAGTTCCGACCACGGCAGGATTCGAACCTGCAATCTTCTGCTCCGTAGGCAGACGCGTTATCCATTGCGCCACGCGGCCATGAGAGAGGAGTTGCATGCGCTCTTAAGTGACGAATCGCCATGTGCACGTCACATAACGTGATGGGCACATGGCTGTGTGTATTGTGCAGTTGTTTTCAGAAATAACGGAAGAGCTTCTTGTTTCAGTTTTTTTTTTCTCGCCCCCTTTTTTATTAAAATTGTCTTCTACAGGGAAGGTCTTTCAGGGTGTGCCAAGCTTTTTCAAAACGGTCTTTTGCATGATATAGGGCACATGCGGGAACCACAGAACCATGGTTAATTTTCCTGAACGGCCCTCTGAATACCAGAAAAGGGGGTCCCTAGTCACACCTTTTCACCAGTTTTTCAATCAAAGTCTATTTGTAAGGGTTACTGACGGTCCTAATCATGAATATGGTACTAATTATTCATGCTAACTCCATTTTGCGCGAATTTTGAAACGTCAACTCGAAATGCAAAAATTTGTCACCACGAGGAATCGAACTAGGGACCCCTTTTCTGGTATTCAGAGGGCCGTTCAGGAAAAATGAACCATGCTTCTGTGGTCCCCATATGTGCCCCAATGTCATGCAAGAAACCATTTTGAAAAAGCTTGGCACACCCTGAACGACCTCTTTTGTAAGATCCCCATATGGCGGCCATGTATTTCACATACTTCCCCGAATTATAACTGCTCATTTAGATGCCGGAACCTATAGCTGCTGAGCCACAGTTATACACTCCGCTCTTCGAATTGGGGCAACTACTAGCCAGTTATGGTTATGTGCCAAGAGCAACGTTTCGACCTGGTGCCACCGTCGTTCATGTACAGGACGAAGCTCGACAACGAATGAATAGGCATGGCCAGCCTTCACATCAAAGAAATCAACATGCGCGCTGTATGATTTTATTACCCTTACCCTTTCCCTTTATTAAATCTTTTTTTGCTTTCGTGTTCAGACCCGTTCGGGGACTCTATTATGCGATATAATTTTTTGCGGTTGATCTTTTGAACCTTTTTAAGCTGCACGGACATATACACCGGGAACGAATGGCTATGCAATGCATTCGAATGGAGCGATTCCATCACACTCGTCGGCCGTAATCAATGGAACTATTCCATCAACGTCTCATTACGGTGGAATGGAACGACGACACTTCCGCGAGCAAACGTCACAACGAGGTGGTCGTGGATCCGCAAGTGGAGGTGGACCTCGTCGTGGAACCGGTGAACGGTCCTATCATCAAGGTGGGTTCAAGATGATTCTAAATCGATGCCATTAGGTTTTATGATTGTTATGATTTACAATTATTGGAGGAGATTCCAAAGCATTTTTTTGTTCATGGTGCTAATCCAGTGATTATATTTCAATACAATTCGATGGGGGCTGTAATTACCTTTGAATTTAAATGTGGAAAAGGAGCAATAGTTTTTTGTCACTTCAAAGTGTCTATTAGAACAACCCGACAGTTCTAACCACGACATTAGATGTTATGACGATGCTTTTTCAGGTGGTCGTCGAAACGGCGGTGCTAACGGCTCGAATCAGGACACCCGTCGTCGTAGCGATTACTGCAACGGAGGGACAGGAGCAGGAGCTGGAGGTGTTGGTGGCGGAGGAAATACGAACAATGGTCCTGCGCTAAGCGTCTCTACGGGGAATATTGCCGCTGCAGCTGCAGGTTCATCGAATACGTTGCAAATTGAGAGGTTCGCTTTTTCTTCTTCTTCGCTCATAATTGGGTTATTGCTAGTGAGCCCTGATGTTTCTATTTCCTTGTTTGACAAGCACACTCTTGATGTATTCTGCGTACGTTGCTTTAGGCCACGGTATAATAGTTTCCGTCGAGAGCGGAATGCCGATAGCGATCACTTCTCCACAAATGACACTTCAAACACATCCTCAGGGAAGGGGCGTCGTTGGGAGATGGATAGTGAGAATGGAAGCGATGGACATGCGGATAGAAAGGTGAGTTTATCAACTATTTGTAGATGAAGCTCTGCTTTAGGCTGAGAGGGGTTAAAATGACAGCATTTTTATTCTTACTGCTTTCATATAAATTTGTTGGTGTAGATTTTGTTACTCTATCAATCATGTTGGAATTATTTTAAGGCGTCTTCTCAAAGTGGATGTTCTGCATATTCTTTTGAAGAGAGAGCGTTCCCGTCATTATCAGAGCCGAAACCGGAGCCCGAGAAACCGGTGGAAAAACCATCGTTCAGGTATTTCAAGCCGTACATTTAGTCTTTTTTTTTGTTTCGATCGCATTTGGGCGCATAATTTTGTCACCTCCAATTAAGTACTAAAGTCCCATTAGTGACTCAGGAAACTATTAGGAAACGAGAGGCGACGGAAAGGGCTATGGAATATTATTGCGTTTCTTTTATGTTGCTGTGAGTGGATTACATTTTTGAGATTATTACGTCGAAATTCATTAAATTAGTCAAGAATTCCACTGGACTTGAAAAGTACCAGACTTTGGATGTCAAAGAAAGGAAACTGGCATGCTACAACACTGCTATGCAAAACTTAGGGACGGAAACAACTTTTGCATGATATATCACTGCTAAGTAACCTAGCTCCATGTAAATTTGGAGCACAGATGGGAGAGACCGTTACACTACATCACAGGGAGTTACTAACAGAAACACGCCATGGGAAGAATGGAAATGAGGCTTTCTTTTTGAAACGGTGGCTGAAGCGGTTGGATGGGTGAAGCTACTCCAATTTGTGGTGGACCTTGAGAAGGCAGAAAATTTGAACACCGCAATAGAGTGCATGCTCTATTACGTGTTCCTAAGCTCTCTTCAAGGTAAGGAGTCCGTGTGAATGAGTGTTACATTCGTAGAACACTGTATTTAACAGTTGTTGGGTAGTCATTGGCGCATGTGGGTGTGCTGCGATAGCTCTCCTATGCATCCCCTCTGTACACGATAGGATTCGGCTGGATTCAATCAATTGCCGAACATCTTCTTGTTTCAGTAGTTCTTCTAGAAGAGAAGTAGAAGTAGAAGAAGAGACGCACATTTCGAAGGACTGCGGGGCTCAATAAAGTCGATGTCAGGCTTCGCGAATGAAGCGATTTGGTAGCGTCGCGGCCAGCGAAATGCTCGATTGCCCGGTACCACAACGCGACCGCGGACGCTATTGCTCGATTTGCAAAGTGGGAAAACCGCCTAAGCTTGACCGGGGAAATACCGTCTTCAAAATATAGAGTGTAGAGGCCAAAATACTCAGGCAACTGCATGCCTCTCCACACCATATCGCCTTCGCTATCGAAGTAATCATGTTCGACGAAGGTTCTTGGTGCGTTAAATGTTCTACATCTCGTCATATGCGACTAACATGTATGTTCGAAGCATTGCTCACACTCCTGGTCCTAACTAAGAGCACGTGAGCCTCTCGTTGGTCCATTTCCAAGACCTCAGCACGTAGCAAATGTTCGCACCGATGTGCTGATTTCAACGGAACACCAAGTACTATTATTCCACTGACAGACCATCCCTAAGCGGTGGTCGGGTCCTGTTCAGGCTGGGATTACGTGCCTTACAATCCTGATAAATGTTTTTGCAACTGCAGCCGGCGACTGACGTGGGTCCATTCTTGCCTGTTGCAAATGTAGCAATCACCTGCTAGCGGTTGATCGTGATCCACCATTTCCTCGGGGCGAAAGTGGCTGCGGTTTCCTACCTCCCGTGCAGATAAAGTAATGCTGTGAGCAAAGCCATATTCGTGTTCCACACCCATAACACATCTTCATTCTTCCGGTCCCCCGATGATTCTTCCTCATGGAAAGACGCCCTAATGTTACCTCCTAGACTTGCTGAGATGAAGAACACCACCACATACCACGGTAACTTCTCGCTGATGTCCTACTCTTTTTTCACTCTTTTTTCTCACACTCCCCCTTCTCCATCAACCCAATTGTGCTGTGTGGCCGATCCCGTTTGACTCCAAATTGAAGCGGGCCTAATGATAGACCCAGTTTGTAGTGCATGACTGGAAGTCTTTGGCATCGTGATCGCATAGTTCCGTCGAATTCCATTGTGTTGTTAATATGTTATGCTATTTTGTCCACCTCGTCCATAAGTTTTGCGCACCAATATAAAGTGGGTGTAGAAGCGAATAACGGTGACTACCTACGGAAGGCATTAACCGATCAAAAAAAGGTAAGTTCCGGACTTGTTCCGGTTTCTTGGGAGGGAGAGCTCTCAAGTAATGATGTTAACCTCGCTCTAGGCTTTAAATCAAGCGTCTTGTGTGGCAGAGAGGTATTCGTCTTTTGGTTTTCATTGTAGTTGTCGTGCTGAAATCACTCGTTATGATTTTAAAGCTATAATTTCCGCTTCTTAATTCGGCTACCCATGTAACAAATATTAACATTTCATACATAGGTGTGTTGGGTTTTCGGTCTAATTGTTTTGTCGTTTTGTTTTATATATTCTGTTATTCCATTTTCTCATGCGTTTGTTTATATTCCTTTTCCAACCTGTCCTACCTAGCGCATTTAATAAATGAATCCTTCCCCAAATGAGTTCTTTCCTTAAAACCTTTTAATGTTACCCCTCCCCCTCCCCTTCCCTGCGCTTCACACGGAAGAGTTCTTGTTTTATGATCTCTCAAAGTGAGGGCCCCTTTGCAATTTACAGTGTAAGCTCATTAGGCACAAATTATAGTAATTGCCTTCCCACTTGCGGAAAAACCTCCGCAGTGTCATTCTCTCACTGCTTCATTATCGTTGATTGGTTTCTAATCACGTGGAAAAAGAGCCTGTACGAATGTGCTTCGAGCGGTTGCTGTTTATCCAGAGAATAGATTTTGAAATGTCGTCCCTATGATCATTTCGTGGTTGGTCATCAACATACTCGACTTGTTTTTTTATATTGTCCATTCCTGTACAGCACTTTCCAAAACATTAAGGCTCTGATGGAAAGTCGGTGGTGACAGGCTGCTCCTTCTCTTCAAACTTTCGGGTTAATCCCGTTGCCTTTTTACGTTTTCTATTCAGTTTTAAATATTGCATACTAAGTGGTTCTTAAATTGCAATGAATTTTCATTGTTTATGGCAGCGCCTGTTGAAAATCATGAGAATATGGCGGATTTCAAGATTTTCTCAGCCATTACTGTGCAGTTATTTTTAGTTGCGTGGCTGCTGGGAAACGATATGCGAAACCGGAGCCGAGAAAGAGTTATGCGGAGAAATTGAAGGAGAAGACAGCGAAAGCCTAGTTGGTCATATTTTGCTTTTAATTTTGTTCTTACAGAATAGTTTGGGGGGATGGTCTGGGAAGTGGTCGCATATTTGTATTCGGGACGGTTATCTACAGGCTATGTTGTGTGCTTACTCGTTTGTGCTTTTCTCGTATCCATTTTTGTACACGTATATACTTCGATGTTCATTTCTAATGCGCTTTGTCACTAGATTTCTTTGTCGGTCATCTTCTTGCCCTTTCGTACGTGTCTAATCGGTCGAGTGTACACATCCACGACAGTATTCATCATAATCACTATCATCATTATCATTACCATTACCTTCTATACTTGCCAAAATGTTCAGTTGAAATCCGCGATCGCGAGCGCGCGCGTACGTGCACACATTGCTTGTCATTAGCCAAATTACTACTTGTCATTTACTTTTCTTTGGTACATTTACTCGTATATCGGTATATCACTGTTGAGCCACGTACATCTGGTATGCTGGGAATGGGAAAATATCATTTTTATTTTGTGAATTTAGTTGTTAGGTGGTCCATTGTGAGTGTGTTAGAGAGTAATTCTCTTCATTGAAGTGAGGTTATTAATCTTCCGGTTAGTGATCATATCACTCTAGTCATCCATTCTGTGCTTTATTCATCTGTGAATGTCAGTATACGCCAAAAGATCGTAACAGTTTCAGAGCGTTGATTTTTCCTTTTCTGAGCATAGTTTTGTACTTTTGTTTTGTTTAGCATACTAATCGATACCTATCCATATTGCTATTCCTTCTGTTTCTTCTTTATCAAAATTCGAACGGTTGATTGTGATTCTATGAAAGATGCCTGGTGAAATTTTTATTGAACATGCAAATGAGGCATTTCAGACTAGGTGAAGGACGTTTGATTAACGTTGACTGTTCTTCCTTATTGTTTGTTAGTCGATGGTGATAACTAGAGAGAAAACTTCTCGTTGTGAATATCTCTTTGATAGATGTAGTGTAGTGGAGAAGTGTCGGCCACCTCAATCTTTTAGAAAACTATCACAGGCCTTTGTGATCAGCTCTGTCATCATCATCATCAGCCTATCGCCTAGTTTTACAGAAATTCTTTATCTATCTACCGGTATCAACACATCTGTCTGTTAATTTATGCCTGTCTTGGATTGTACTACTGTTTGAATGAAAATTTCTAAAAAACTAAATTTTGTAGTTTCAAATTTTGTAGTTGCAGTTTCGCATGCACTTGCTTCAACGACGATCATGGCGACGGTCCATCTGTAATCGCATGTGAATTACGTCCCAAGCCGCAGGGTGAGCTAGTGCGTTAGAAATAGATCACCTCGATCTTCCCTCCCCATTGCAGGGCCTGCATAAAACTCCATTTTGATCCTTCCTATGGCTGTTCTGATAGTGGTGGTCTGTTATGGATGGTTGACACTCTGACCTAAGGAAATCTACCTCCTACCTATCTAATACCTACAGAAAATAAGTCGAGCGAGTGCGTAGGTTAGGAGGGTGCACTTTTAAGGACAGCTGGATGTCCTACATTCCACGCATCCTGCCCACATCCAATCCAATTTTCTGCACCGGGCCATTCACCCTGGAGTTCTTGTACCCTCAGGCCAAAGCAAAGACCCATTCCCCTGGCTCAGGGCCGTTTTCTTTAACTGCAGGCCAGTTGTGGAAGCCCTTCAGAATACTTCTATACTACATTGGTATTCTTAGAAAATACTTTAATCACTCGATTACGTGTCATGAGCGCTCTCTAATTTAGGTAACTCAACGTAGTTTAAGTAGCGGAGAACACAGTGGATTAACCCCCCCCCCCCCTTCCGAACTAGATTTTCATCGAATTTTTTAATAATACCTGTTTTGTGGAAATAAAGCTGATTTCATTAAATGGCGAGAAGTATCATTCTTCCCCCTTTCTGCAGAAGCGATCCCCCTGGAGGTGCCCATTGGTGGTTGAGCCTGCTCGTACATTTAGTGCTAAGGGGATGCTGGTTTAGGTGATCTTGTCGTTACATTCTTTACTTTCGTGGAGGCTTCGTTACTTTGAAATGTTTATGTTTATGGTCCTCCCAATCACCTCCACCTCCCACTCATCCCCTTCCATCTCCTTCTTCAATGATGGCATTTGTGTGTTGAATCTCGTCTGGATTAAAACACTGCAAAGTCCGCTGAGGATAGCAAAGTTCCTTTGCTTAGTAGCTAGAAAATTCCTTGGTTCCGGAATCCATTCCCATGCCCTGACAGCAATTTGCCAGAACACCCCCACCCCCTCCCCCTCCCAACTCCGCCCTCCACCAAATCACAGAAATTCACCGAAGAGTGCTTCAAGGAGGAAACAGTGAAAGAAGTGAACAACAACATTCGAGGACACGAATGCACTCTCTTTTGAGGAATGCAAAATTCGCATTCGTGCTGACTTAAAGCAACAGTCCCAGCAGGGTGGGCGTGGTCGGAAACGACTGCAATCCCCTCGGCCGATTCCGACCACGCCCACTTCAGCTCCCTCCTAGCGGCTTTCCAAGGTGAGTTTTTGTTCAGTCACACTTCTTACGTTCTTGACTAGGGGCTGAACAGCTCCGAAGTGGGAATCGGCCGAGGGGATTGCAGCCGTTTCCGACCACGCCCCCTGCTGGGACTGTTGCTTCAACAAAAGCGGCCTGTCAATCTAATCCACCAACGCAGGCGACGATTATGAGAAGTAAATTTTATGTCATTTGCGTTTCTTCAAATATTACGACTCCTAAGCATTTAAAACTGTAAGTAAACACCTCACTTGCGATGCTGAGTTCGCATTGATCCGGACAAATTTCTTTGAATCTATGTTATGCGCATGGAAGTGTATCCTCGTGATAAGGGCTTGCGTTTGAGTTATGGGTCATGGCACGGCCAAACATTTAGTGAGTAACAGAATTCAATCCAGGGATCATTCAGTCTTCATACTTGTACCAAACGCCTTCGTCGCTGAACACGCACCTTCGCACGCGCGCGCAGCAACGCAAAGCCTCACGTCGTCGTGCGATTGCGGCAGTTCATCACGAAGGGGTCGTATTTGAGTGACTTTTTTGGAGGTACGTGTATTTTGGGTTAGTGAGGGTCAAAAGATGTAGAAGGAAAGTGGCGTCACGAATATCAGGAGGGTCGTGTGACAGACGAGAGGTTTATGTTTGTGGGTTTTGGACGACTAAGCAAAGGTAGAAAAAATTTTGTGGTGGTGGGGGGGGTCGTAGTGGGGTGTTTCCTAAGGCTGACTGTGGTGGTGGAGGTGGGTATTAAACCCCCTCCCCCCCCCCCGAAAAGGGGCGGTGTCACAAAATTTTGAAATTTAGTGAGGGAACCCCTCTGACGATTAATGATGATGATGATGCAGCTCTCACTTCCTTGACGCAAGTGCACTGCAGTTACGCTGATCGGGCCGGTACCGCGTCACTTGTAGCAGAGGCTCGGGTTCGGGTTCAGGGGCGAAAGTTTTGTTTACAACCCAGCTTCTTTGTGGAACGTTCGCAAGGCGAACTGCGGCCAAAAACAGCAGTTTTCAAGGATCTTTCGTGAAAAAGCTCTGCCTGCCATTATCCACAGTAAAAACGATACCCCTTAGGCCCCTAGCCCCATGAGCATGGCAAAAAAGAACGGAACATAAGTGTTAGTTTCGATAATACTAATCCTACACACCAGACAAAATGATCACTCTTTCCGTGGAGGATTTCTTTAAAATATCGTTTTATGTGGTAATGAGGGCGAAGCTTTTTCCGCGGAGAGGTTCCTTTAGCAAACAAAAACAAGCCAAAATAGCAAGAATTTTGCGTTTTTAGAGTATGCATAACATAGCATAACTCATTAGCAATATACATACAGACTACCGAGAAGTGAGGGTGTGAAGGAAAAAGTATCGCTCATTAAAAAGGTGCAGCAATTAATCTGAGCCGCTCATGTATGAAAGTGGAGCAACGCATGCTTGCCTTCGCACAGGGTAATCAGTTGATTGTGGGTGTAGTTGAGGGAGGGGGACAATCGCTGTCGCGTCCGTGCGCAATGTCTGTGTCATCTCAGCGAGCTAGTGCAACTTGTAAATTCCAGATTTTCAGGCATTTAAGTGACACCTTATCTCACTTACCACCCCCACTGCTTCACTCTCCCGAAGCGCTTATATTCCCATAGGCTCACGGAAACGCGAATCTGCCGCGCGCTCCGGCAGCGACTGCACCCCTCCTCCGATTACGGTGGCTCCTAATTGTGCTGTATTCAGTCTAGGCTGCGTTTAGAGTGAGCGAATGGAGAATAGACGAACCTGAGCCGATCACTGAGCACGTGGAGAATCCACAAAAACTTTAAACTTAAGCACATTCCATAACTACAGAATATTGATGGGTGAGGGGATTCAAAAACGAAGCTGTAGCTGCAAACAGGTTCACTATTACAGGTAAAAGCAGAGAAAGTGGCGAAAGAGATGATAATAAGGCGGTTCATCTTGAGGTTTGTTCGAAACATTGCACAAGCCTACACTTAAGAAACACTAGGCATCGACGCTAGATGGCAGGAAGGGAGTTAAAGGCAACGATTACGACAAAGGCAGCATATACACCACACGAAGCAGTTACTTGGCTGCCAGGGAAGCGAGGTGTGGCGCTTTCACGACGAAAGGTGCGCTGGTTGCTGAGCAGGACTTCGAAAGCGCTCCGCCCCCAAAGCGATCCGCCCACTAGTTTAGTTGGTGATTTGGACGAGCTGCGTTGCCAGCAGCGGCACAACTGGAGCAACTCGATTGGAGCGTGGTTTGGCATGGTGCCACCAAACGCGTTGCGGTGAACTCGTTCATACGTCCGCTTTCTGAGCTGTTACCTGTTCATGAGTGAAAACCAACGGCCAAAAAGGGGTCCCGTTTTGCGTTTTCTTGACGGATTTCTCCGCTTTTTCGCCACTGGCGTACCATTGAGCACCACCACGTCTCCTCTAACCTTCTTAAAACTATCGTGATCGCTGCCTTTAAATAGGGAGCATATAAACGAGGGAGATGCAAAGCCTCAAT